TATCTCAGGTGAGTGATGTGGCCCATAAGCCCATTGTTATTTTTTAAACCCTTCTCATTCTAAATTGTTTTTATACCCTAGCTCTGAAGGAGAAGGGTATACTGTTATGCCCTAGTGTGTCTGTTTGTGTGTCATATAGTGGGATTCAATTTTGTATGAATTAAGGAATCACTGTCTAGTTAGTGTAGTATGCCGGGGCATCAACGATAGTGGGAAACATTTCTTTTCATTGTAGAATCAGGAGAAAGGCAATATATAGTTGAAATTTTGAATAGGTACTGCAATTTAGAGCATTGTTATGTTAAATGCAAGGAAATGCCATGCATTGATTTATGTTATCATTTATATAAATGCAACTGCCCTGACAATGACAATGGCTTTTTATGCAAACATATTCATAAGGTACATAGCATGTGTACAAGCTACAGAAATGGGGATGAATGTGGGGAATCTAATGAGACACTATTTGTCAACCCACAGCAAGACTCTTCTCAGTCCCAAAATGCCCCCGTTGATCCAGAAACTCAATATAAGCAGATAAAGAAACTTATGCAGCAGATTGATAGTCAGCTGGAACATTCAAAGGTCAGGGAAATGAGATTTCAAACTATACTTCAGACATTTCAAGCAATAGCTGCTGGTAATGATGCATGTATCAACCTTTCAGAAGACACAGGGAAGCTCAAGGAGACTGAGAAAATTTCAGGCAATGCCAATAATATTATACAGCCTAGATTTCATACTACAGAAAAGAAAAAGGGAAGACCTAAAAAAGCTCCATTGAGAAAACCAACTGAAGAGGAAAAGGAACGTTTGTTGAATCATCAAGACTTGCCACAGCCACCTTTAGAAGCACCTGTAAACACACCCTTACCATCAGTTGCCCCATACCCTCCTTTGAGATTGGTGCACCCTGCCCCTTCCACCTCTACACAGCTACCTAGCACACCAGAACAACCATTGTTTGAGTAAGTCTTTACAATCCTTTTTTTGAACATTTCTACACATATAGAGATTTTTCATTATAAAAGTACAAAATTAAAAAAAATAATAATCACATTATAAGCTCAGGATAAATATGGATATTTTCATTGTCTTGTTGCAGAGTGAATGGTCAGATGGGACTGCAGCCGTGGATGAGAGTGCCACCATCACTGATGGGGAGAAGGATCAAAGTCAAGACAAAGGATGGGAAAACTCAAGTCTTGATATTCACAAAAGGAGTCGCGGATACCGATACAAATAATGATGGTCACTAAGACTCGGATTTAAAAATATGAAATACATTGTGAAATTATTTTTTTCTTTAAATTTAGTCTAAGGTTATATTGTTGGAAAAAAACCTTAAAGAAGATTTTTAGAATTCTTGATTAATTGAACATCAGAAACAGTAGGAAAGACCAAGATATATTTGTACAGTCTAGAATATTGGAGGCTTGTTATATGATTAGCATTTCCTGTAGTATGTAAATCTACTGTAAACCAACTTTTATTCGTGACGACCTTATTTCGCAATTTACCGGGGGTTAACTAGTTCGCGACAATTAATTTTCGCGATCAAGCCTATTTAGGTTCTTTTGCTAACAGACACATAGATTTTAAGAACCGGTTTGCGGCGAGAAATATTCGCGATGACGAAACTCTCGCGAACTTTGCGAAATTTTCTCGCACACGAATAAAAGTTGGTTTACATTATGTTGGATAATTCACTCAAGAACTCTTGAAGATGATTCATTTCTATAGCAATGAGAGTGATAGATCCTTTAATATTTTTTCTTATCTTTTCATGTGTGCAAGGATGGAGACACTCGGAAACAGACCTATGTCACTTTGAGCATAATGTCAGTCCAGTAGCAGGTTGGCAATGGCAGATAGGCTTTTGTCTTAGCCAGTGCTCAAGTGTCATTAGGTTTGATTTCCAGCTGAGAATGGGACCTACACACCATAGGAATGCAAATCCACAGAGGACCAAAAAGGGACCTGTTTCACTTTGAGCATAAAGTCAGTCCAGTAGCAGATTGGCAATGGTAGATAGGCTTTTGCCTTAGGCCAGTGCTCAAGTGTCACTAGGTTTCCTATTAAACTGACAGTGCCTATGGGAATTTATCTCCATCTCAGGATCAAGTCCTTTGTTCAGGTGACAAGAAGGTCCTTAATCCTATGTTCAGATTATTGCCAATGCATATCAAATTTTCCATATGATATCCTCACTTACGTAGTTCAGAGAGAACTTAGCTCAAGTTTACATGTTATTTTAAGTTTTTATTTGTTTTTAGTTCACATAAGCCAAAAGTTGCATTTCAAGAGCTTAATTTTCTGATTGAAAGGTGTCTATTGTCGTCATTGTAGACTTTTCACATTTTTTTTCCCTCTTCTCCAGAACAACTGGAAAATATCAACCAAACTTCGCAAAAATAATCCTTGAATAAAGGGGATTAACTTTGTTCTTAAAGGGTCGCATCTTGAGGACCGAGAATCAAGAAAAAGAGAAAGGGTTGGTCTTAAGGTGTGGTTCCTTATTAATACATACTTATTTACCAGAAGTTGTACAGGATGTCCCAGAATATATGATACTGTAAATCACTTTTTATTCGCGAGAACTTTATTTTCGCGTAATTACGCGAGACAGTGTGCTCGCGAAAATAAAATTCTCGCGTATAAAAGTATTCCTTAAGATTATATAGAACAATAACCACAATTCGTGAAAATTTTGTCTTGCTAATCAAGAGTCAATGACTATCTCGCGAAATATAAGGTGTCGCGAAAATTTAGTGATCTACAGTACCATTTCATGATTTTATAAAATATGATTTGATGAATATTGAATTACAACAAATGCGTACGATAAACATTGCCTGTACTGTCCAATTTTATTCAAACAAAGGTAAATATGGAAATATAAATTAATAAATGAATCTATGCATATGTATTAATTAATTGGAAATTCTATTCTTCTTTGTATCATAGGCCTTTAAATAAGATAAGCAGACAAACTTTAGTAAAATGTTCTACTGATAAAAGGGTGTTTTTAATTACATTTATGAAATTCAGAGCCCAGGATCAGGGTTACTTAGGTGATTCTTGGATCTTTTATCTAATTAGTATGGATTCAAAGTTTAGGATGTGGCTAAAATTGGGATCAAATGAATTAAAATCTTTTGAGAACATTTTTTCTCCAAAATAGCAAGGTCATTTTAGTAATATTTGAGTCAAAATTTAGTCATATTTGTAATGAAGTGTCCCCATTATGACTTGATTCCAGTTGAGTTAAATCATATTAAGTCCTTGTCAGAGGTGAGAGTATGGTCCATGGGCCTCCTTCTTGTTTGTTTGTTGTTGTTTGTTCGTTGGTTTTTTTTTCTACACTTTTGGTGCATGCATACCAGTTCTTCATTTAAAAGAATTTTTTTTTTAAAGAATTTCAACTGTTTCCCAACTGATGAAGCCCGGACAGTTGAAAGTTACTTGTATATGTACATGTATTAATTGATAAACAAATGACACTGAGGATTTAATAGCAATTAGGTACATTTTCATATGAATTATATTCTAATAAATAACTCTCTATTCTCTAAGTTTTTTCTATGTGTAGCCTCCTTGCTTATTGCTGTTTTTCATGCTATTTATCCTGCTTCTTGAAATATGAATACAAAAAGATGAAGATAAAATTACTAGATTAATTGTTCTTTTTATCCGTCTAAATATTCTTTTGTATATAGTTACATGTATGTAAAAATTGATGTGTTATGACCATATATACTAGTAGATAATTTTAATACAAAACTTTGTTAATGACCCAGATGAATTTATGTCTGTAATTTGAGAAGATTGCATATGATTGAATATTAAAAAAATCAATTTAAAACATTATTATAAACAAAAGCAAGATAAATTGAATACATGTGCATAAATGTATGAATGTATCAAATTATATTCTATAAAAAATTAATTTACTATCAGTTTATATTTTAACAATTTTGATGCTTTTACACTTGCAATCAAGGGTGCAATTGATACATTCATACATATAGGGCAGAAACTCACTTGGCAGAATAAGCATAGTATTTAAGAGTTTAAATCCTTACTTTTAATTGGTCCTAAAATTCAGCATGTAATCTTATGATAATAAAGATATTTATCTTTTTGAAAAAAAAAAAATGCTGGCAGTGCCATGTGGGTCTTGGGGAGAGTTTTGAAATGCTGAACATGATATACATGTACATGTATCATTTGCAGGTGATTTTAGAAAATTTCCAACTTTGTTTTTTATTTCATTTTTCATTGATGATAATACAATTCTTTAGATAAACTGAAACAGTCTTATTTTTATTTGAATATTAAGTAAGACATTTATCCATGCATTACTTTTTCTAGGGCACATTTCAGCATAATGCAAACTTGCAATTTCTAAACAATTAAGTCAAATATGCATAAACATGCAATGCTCTCAAAGCACATAAATTATAGTTCTTAAATTAATCACATATTGCAGAATAAGATTGGACATTTTGAAGAGATTACATCTACAGGATCTAGTCTCTTAAGATTTCTTGAACATATATGTTAATCAGTGGTGATTTCAGAAAAAAGACAGGCAGTCTTCCTTTCAAAGCAGTCAAAGAAGAATGCAACACCATTAATTTGATTGAAATAAAAGTATGTAAGAGAATAAGTAATATACCTATAAACATTCCGTCCTAGATCTTGCACTTGCTGGGTTATCACAAGTACAACTTATAATTACACTGATTATAAGAATAAAATGTGTTTTTAAGGTTGATCTAATGTGTTTTTATGCTTAGTATGTACTTTGTCTCAATAAAAATATATGAAATCAAACTATGCTATTTTCATTTATTTTTAAGATAAATTTAATTGATAGGCTGCTTATAGATAATTACAAATATGCATAGCTCAGTGTTCACTATTGAAAATTTGAATATTTCACATTGATTTAATTGTCAAATACATGGATCACATATACAGGAAAATCTGAGACTTTTTAAAAAAACATGTAAATGTGAATATTTCAGCCTGATTTTTTAGCTTATTGGCATGTTTAAAATAACTTTTGATAGGTTGGTTGGTAGTCGGTCATGTAGATATTTCAGCATATCCTATTCAAGTTTGGTTTAGTCAGTCCATCCTGATTGGTGGGGCCATATGGCAATCTTTAAAAAAAAACTGTTTGGTTGCCTTCTCTGGAACAACTGGCTAATTATCGTCCCACTCTAAACTTTTTTCTATCCATTCCGAAAAATAGATTTTGAGATTTCAAAGGATTAAATTTTCTGTTAAAAAGAATTTTCTCACCAAGTATAAACCAACATATATTTTTTTTAAACTTCTGAATCAGGATAGGACAATCAAACATTTTAAATTAAAGTTGGCCAAAGGTTTTTTTTTTATAATTATATTTTAGGTTACGAAATCCTTAGAAATTACCTTTTGAATGGAGTACTGCAACCAAGTTGTTTCATGTGAGTTATATAGCAAATGAATTGTGTGTTCATGATGAAATTCAGGACATTCTAAAATTTGAAAATTGCCTGAAAATGATTTTTAAAGGTAAAATAAAGACCTAGTTATAATTCTGAAGGTACTTAATACATATGTATATATGTATAATTTTTTAACAGTTTAAGTTCTTAAACATTTGTTAAAAAATATGTAATCAATTTTTTAAGTGAAATAAGACTTGACTAGTTATAATTAAGGTACTTAATACATTGTATATATGTATAATTTTTTAACAGTGAATACAATACAGTTCTTAAAGTATTCAAAACATGATTTGAGATTTTAACTTTTAGTTCGAATATCCTAACGTCTGTCAACACCCTATATGCAAAATAAAAAAGTATATATATAAAGCCAAAGATCAATCCTTAAAAGGTAAAATAAAATTTTTTGAGTATGTTCACTTTTTAATTACATTTCACAATATTTTTTAAAAATATAAAAACGATATATATATTTTTTAAATTTTTTTTCCTCATAAGTATATATTTATAATTGTATATATATTTTTAACACTCAAATTTAAACACGTGTTGATTTGTTCATCTACACACTAAAATAAAATTAACTAAAATTAAGGTACTTGCTCTTTTCTTTTTAAAACATGAATGTACATATATTAACATGCAAGTGTTCATACTCACACATGGCTAAAATAAAATTATTTTTTTCGCCAGTAGCGAAGTATTTGTCCTACAAGCTGTAGGGAGGAAAATAAAATGTGATGGCACATTGAGTTTAATTTTTAGGATGTATTAAATCTCCAAATTGGGGCTGTAAGACAAGAAAACATTTTAATTTTTATAGT